AGGTGGGGTCGGGAGATCACTACAACAAATGCAGGGGGGCAGGAAGTATGGAATTACACATTAATTAAAGACAGTCATATAGGTATTTTCATTTAGTGTATATTTGCATGGGATCGAGCTAGTAATGTAAACATAGAGTTGATATGCTGGTCAAGTTATTTTACAGGCATAGTATATAAGCAGGTCAGGAGGATGTAATTGCAACATAGAATATAAGCGCAGTGTCAGATATTAAGTACAACTGGATATATAGGGGCGGGTCACAGGAAGAATTTACAACATGTATAATAGATGCATGGGCAGAATGGTATATGTAAGGTACAACTTGGTTGGGATTAGATCAGGTCAGTGTATGTAATTGTACAACAGAGAGTTTATAGTGCAGGGGTCAGGAGGATGTAATGTACAAACATAGAGATATAGGTGCAGGATCAGGAGTATGTAAAGTACAATATATGAGTATATAGTGCAGGGGTCAGGAGTATGGGTAATGAGGAGGATCTACAACATATAGTGGCATGAGTAGGAGTATGTTAATAGTGCATAGACTATGTAGTAGGGTCAGGAGTATGTAATGTACAACATAGAGTATATAGTGCAGGGGTCAGGATTATGTAATGTACAACATAGAGTATATAGTGCAGGGGTCAGGAGTTGTATGTAATGTACAACATCAGGAGAGTATGTATATAGAGTGCAGGGGTCAGGAGTATGTAATGTACAACAACATAGCAGTATGATATGGGGTCAGGAGTATTGTTAGTATGTACAACATAGAGTATATAGTGCAGGGGGTCAGGAGTATATGTAATGTACAACAGGAGTATATAGTGCAGGGTAGTCAGAGTATGTAATGTACAACATAGAGTATATAGTGCAGGGAGGGTCAGAGTATGTAATAAATACAACAATAGAGTATATAGTGCAGGGGTCAGGAGTATGTAATGTACAACATAGAGAGTATTGTGAGTGCAGGGGTCAGGAGTATGTAATGTACAACATAGGAGTATATAGTGCAGGGGTCAGAGTATGTAATGTACAACAACATAGAGTATATAGTGCAGGGGTCAGGAGTATGTAATGTACAACAGGAGTATATAGTGCAGGGGTCAGGACTCTCAGTATGTAGTTTAATTTCTGTACAACATAGATGCTTAGAATATTTACTGTGCACAGGGTAGGGTTTCGGAAGTGAGCTAATGTACAACAGAGTATATAGTGCAGGGGTTAGGAGGATGTAATGTACACATGGAGTATATAGTGCAGGGGTCAGAGGATGTAATGTACAAGTTAATAGTATAAGGGTCAGGACTCTCAGTATTAGTTATCGGACATCAGTGGAAGCTTAAATGTTTACTACGTAGAAAACATCTAGAGGGTGCGCTGGGATTCGGCAAACCATCATGAAACAGGTTAGATTGGATGTGACGGGAGTAAGTGGTATACTTGACAGAGGGGTGGCGGTGGACGTGGTATACTTGGACAGAGGGGTGGCAGTGGACGTGGTAATACTTGGACAGAGGGGTGGCGGTGGATGACGTGGTATACTTGGACAGAGGGGTGGCAGTGGACGTGGTATACTTGGACAGAGGGGTGCAGTGGACGTGGTATACTTGGACAGAGGGGTGGCAGTGGACGTGGTATACCTTGGACAGAGGGGGTGGCGGTGGACGTGGTATACTTGGACAGAGGGGGTGGTGGACGTGGTATACTTGGACAGAGGGGTGGGCGTGGAATCGTGGTATACTTGGACAGAGGGGTGGCGTGGACGTGGTATACTTGGACAGAGGGGTGGGAGATGCGTGGGACGTGGTATACTTGGACAGAGGGGTGGCGGTGGACGTGGTATACTGGACAGAGGGGTGGCGGTGGACGTGGTATACTTGGACAGAGGGGTGGCGGTGGACGTGGTATACTTGGACAGAGGGGTGAGGTGGACGTGGGTATACTTGGACAGAGGGGGGGCGGTGGATGTGGTATACTTGGACAGAGGGGTGTGGTGGACGTGGTATACTTGGACAGAGGGGTGGCGGTGGACGTGGTATACTTGGACAGAGGGGTGGCGGTGGACGTGGTATACCTTGGACAGAGGGGTGGCGGTGGACGTGGTATACTTGGACAGAGGGGTGGCGGTGGACGTGGTATACTTGGACAGAGGGGTGGCGGATTGTGAGGACGTGGTATACTTAGGGACACAGGGGTGGCGGTGGACGTGGTATACTTGGAGTGAGGGTGGCGTGGATGTACATGGTATACTGGACAGAACAGGGGTGGCGGTGGACGTGGTTATACTTGGACACAGTAGGTCTACACATGGTAATGTGTAAGTAAAGTCTATGGGCAGGAAAGGTTGAGTGTAAATGGATAGAAAACTGTTAAAAATTGTATTCAGAGGGGTGGGGTAAGGATTCATGGTATACTTAATGGGGTACAGTGAGGGGGTGTCAGTAGTGTACCCAAGGTTCAGTGTACTTAGTGGGATGGGGTACCCCAAGGTTCAGTGTTATTAGTGGGGTACCCCAAGATTCAGTGTTATTAAGTGGGGTACCGGGGTAAAGGTTCAGTGTTATTAGTGGGGTACCCCAAGGTTCCTGTGTGATTAGGCGGTGTACCCCAGGGTTCAGTGTTATTAGTGGGGTACCCTAAGGTTCAGTGATATTAGTGGGGTACCCCAAGGGTCAGTGTTATTAGTGGGGTACCCCAAGTTCAGTGTTATTAGTGGTGTACCCCAAAGGTTCAGTGTTATTAGTGGTGGTACCCCAAGTTCAGCGTTATTGTGGGGTACCCCAGGTGTCAGTGTTGTTAGTGGGGTACCCCAGGTTTCAGTGTTATATTAGTTCAAACGTGTACCCCAGGGGTCAGTGTGATTAGTGTGGTACCCCCAAGGTTCAGTGTTATTAGTGGGGTACCCCAAGGTTCAGTGTTTATTAGTGGGGTACCCCAGGGTTCAGAATCATCAGTGGTGTACCCCAAGGTTCAGTGTTATTGGTGTGGTATAGAGGTTCAGTGTTATTAGTGGGGTACCCCCAGGCTCAGTGTTATTAGTGGGTACACCAATGCTCTGTGTTTATTAGTGGGGAACCCCAAGGGTTCAGTGTTATTAGTGGGGTACCCCAAGGTTCAGTGTTATTAGTGGTGTACCCCAAGGTTCAGTGTTATTAGTGGTGGTACCCCAAAGGTTCAGTGTTATTCAGTGGTGTACCCCAAGGTTCAGTGTTATTAGTGGTGTACCCCAAGGTTCAGTGTTATTAGTGGGGGACCCCAGGGTTCAGTGTTATTAGTGGGGTACCCCAAGGTTAAGTGTTATTAGTGGGGTACCCCAGGGTTCAGTGTTATTAGTGGTGTACCCCAAGGTTCAGTGTTATTAGTGTTATTAGTGTACCCCAAGGTTCAGTGTTATTAGTGGGGTACCCCAAGGTCCAGTGTTATTAGTGGTGTATCCCCAAGGTTCAGTGTTATTAGTGGGGTACCCCAAGGTTCAGTGTTATTAGTGGTGTACCCCAAGGTTCAGTGTTATTAGTGGGGTACCCCAAGGTTCAGTGTTATTAGTGGTGGTACCCCAAGGTTCAGTGTTATTAGTGGGGTACCCCAAGGTTCAGTGTTATTAGTGGGGTATCCCAAGGTTCAGTGTTATTAGTGGGGTACCCCAAGGTTCAGTGTTATCAGTGGTGTACCCCAAGGTTCAGTGTTATTAGTGGGGTACCCCAAGGTTCAGTGTTATTCAGTGGGGTACCCCAAGGCTCAGTGTTATTATCCGGTTCCTGCCCCATCTATGGCCAGATGGTGGCCGGGTGAGCACCTCGTCCCTCCGGGTGAAAGCCATATGGCGTCCATCCAGGTATGCGCAGTTTGCATGCCCGCAGAACCGTGCAGCGGCGCGATCTGTCACCGGCCATGTACATCGGTACCTCGGCACGGCTAATGACAGATCTGTGTACCGGCCCCATTGTCTGTACCATGTGACCTGCTGTGACCAATCACTGTAGGTCACATGACAGTTGTATACAATGGATGGCTCATTTTCTTCCAAAAAAAAGAACACACATTTTTAAATAAAGAGATATGTTTTTCTTTGTTTCTGTTATAAAAGTTTTCAAATAAATAAATTGTTCTTCATAAATTTAGGCCGAGATGTATTCTGCTACATGTCTTTGGTGAAAATAACCCAAATTAGGATTTCTGAACTCTATAACTTCGTTCCCTACACACTAAATCATAAACTATGGGTGCATACATCATGAAAATTGTCAATCCTGGAAGTACTGACAGCCGTCAAATCTTATTTAGTTAGGTAGTGGGTATCCCAAGTTATCTTCAGAACAGTGTTAGATGGTGTATCCCCCCAAATGTCAGACATACAGTATACCCCCCAAGATGTCAGAAACGGTACAGATATCCCCAAGATGTCAGGATAGTACAGAAATCCCCCATATGGTCAGGACAGGTACAGATATCCCACAAATGTCATGTTATCGGTACAGATCTCCCCCAAATGTTCAGTTACGTAGGGATATACCCCAAAGTTCAGTGTTATTAGTGACCGGTACAGATATCCCCCAAAGTTCATAACGCTTGAGTATATCCCCCCCAAATGTCAGACAGTACCAAGATATCACCCCCAAATGTTGCATAGACGGCACAGATATACCCTAAAATGTCATGACAGTACAGATATCCCCCAAATGATCCAGTGAGTTAGTACCCAAGGTACAGAATTGTCCCCCATTAGTGACAGGACAGTCGCAGAAGTCATTGTCCCCCAAATAGTCAGGACAGTACACGACATCCCCCAGGTTCATTGATCAGCTAGTACACAGACATATCCCCCAAGATTCGTGTTGTTAGATGTGTACCGCCAAGGTACAGTGTTATTGAGTCCCCCCAACCTTGTGCCAGAAACAGTGTTACAGATAATGGTGTACTCCCAAAGGTTCAGGACAGTGACAGAATATCCCCCAAATATAAAGGACGAGGTACAGATATCCCCCAGAATGTCAGTGTTGTTAATCGGTTACAGATATCCCCCACATGTCATTGTTAATATGTACAGAGTGATCCCCCATAGTCAGAACAGTACAGAATCCCCCAAAAGTCAGACGTGTAACCCCACGAATTGTTATCCCCCATTAGACAGCAACCCCACAGAAGATAACCCCAAATTGTCAGGACTGTTCATGTTGGATCCCCAAGACTTCTCAGTGAACGGTACAGCGTGATATCCCACCAAGGTTCAGTGTTTAACAGTTGGTACCACCAAGGTTCAGTGTTTACATAATAAATGGATCGCCAAGTTCAGTGTCAGATTAGTGGTACAGATATCACCTCAAATGTCAGGTTAATTAGTACAGAATAAATCCCCCAAGTAGTCATGGGAACGTGTATTGATTATCCCCAAAATTCCAGTGACGGTACAGATATCCCTTAAGATGTCAGTTTGTTACGTGGTACATGATATACCCCCAAGTATTCAGACAGTACGACGCGATTTATGGTACCAAAGGTTCAGTGTTATTAGTGGTACAGATACCCTCCCCAAAAGTCAGGACGGTATCATGTGTATCCCCCATTAATATCAGGACAGTACAGATATCAGTTCAACATGTTGGGACCCTTAAGATTATCCCCCATATATCAGGACGTAAACAGATATGGGGTCAAATGTCCAGGAACGGTAACAGATATCACTCGAATGTCTAGGATCAAGTGCAGCTGACACCCGGAAGGCTGTGCCGTGGAATAACGTCCACAGATAACCCTAGGATTTTAGTTTGGTACAATGTTGCATTATTACCGGCAATGTCCATTCAAAGTGTGAGCTCAGCGTGAGAATTTGGGGTGACAAATTGGCCTGGGCCAGTGAGGGTTAGAAGTGCCGCGTATGGAAGGGGTTTTAGTGGGGTAGGAGGGAGGTTCAGTGTTATTAGTGGGGCAAACCCAAGATTCATTGTTGGGACACCCCATCTACATACTGGGAGATATTTTTAATACAACAATATCGGGGGGTAGGGGTCATTGTAAAGATCCCAAGGAGGAGTCAATGATGAGAAATGTATAATACATAAGGGGTTCAATGTTGATAAGATCTCATGATAATACATGGTGGAAGAAAGATATGTCTCCATGGTAAATGTGGATAAGGGGTGACTATGGGGTCAATGTATGAATACATTTAAGGAGCGGGTGATAAATGATGGTAGAAAGTATAATACATAAGGGGGGGGGGGTATATGATGGACTCCATGTATAATCAGCATAAGGAGGGATCTGTGTAGAACATGTAATTAAAGTACATAAGGGGGGTCATGATCTGCCAAGTTGCGGTGTTCTGACATCAGCGAGGGGATAATGATCTCTCGATGTATAAAACATAGAGGGGATAGTGAACTCCTAGAGTCTAGATACACCAAGAGGGGATCCCCCTCGCCATGTGTAGATACAATAATCCATTACTGTAATGAACTCCCTGTATAATACACTGAATATACAAGATTATGATTTTCAGGGCATGCATAATTCACATAAGGGGGATACTGAATCTCCATTATAATACATAAGGGGGGGATATGAGTCTCCATGTATAAGGTACATGAAGAAGGGATATGATCACATGTATAATACACTAGGAGGGGGGATATTGGAGCTCCATGCGCGGATACATAAGGAAGCATCTGAGGATATGTATCTCCATGTATTGAATACATAAGGTGAAAATTTTATATGATCTCCATGTCATTGAGAATACGAGATAAGAGGTGGATATTGAGATCTCCATGTATATGAATGACCATAAGAGGGGGGATATGAGATCCCTCTCCAGTATAATACATAAAGGGGGGGGATAAGATCTCCAGGTGCCAAGTATAACAATACATAAAGGGATATGAATCTCCTATGTGTATAATACAATCAAGGGAGGGATAAGTGATTCTAACCATTGTATAAATACTATAAGCGGTTGGATTATGATACTCACCTGTATAATAACATAAGTTGAGTGGGATATGATCTCCATGTATTATTCCACTACATAAGAGGGGGTATATGCTTCACAACAGATGTATAACTACATTAAGGGGGGGGATATGATACCTCCATAGTATAAAAAACCATAGGGGGAAAATAATATCTCCATTGTAAAATACATAAGTTTCTCCAGAAATTAATCCCTTTTAAGGGGGATATTTTCCCCATGTAAAAATACATAAGGGGGGATATGTTTCCCCCATGTAAAAATACAAAAGGGGGGGGGAAAAGTTTCCCCATGTAAAATACAAAAGGGGGGGGATAAATCCCATTTTTTAAAACAGGGGGGGGGATATGATCCCCATTTTTAATAAAAATAAGGGGGGATTTGATCCCCCATTTTTAAAAATACTTTGGGGGGGTTAAAAACCCCATGTAAAATTTAAAAAGGGGGGAAAT